CTGCTCCTACTACAGAAACCACAAGTTCTTTTTCAGAGAGCACAGCAGTCTCCACAGAGATACCAGCTGCCACCTTGAATGAATCCACTACATCACAAACTACCACATCTGCCCCGAAGAGCACACAGGCCTCCATCTCTTCCACCGAGAGCTCCACAATTAGTACTAGTACAACAAAAACCACGACTCAACTTCCAACAACTAGGGAATACTTAACTACTTCTCCACAAACCACCACATTGGAAACCACAGTGGCAGCCACTTCTCCCCCACAGAGCACAGTGTCCTCCAGCTCTACAAAGACTACTAGCTCTTCAGAAACCACTGCTCAACATTCAATCACCACAGCTACTTCTCCAGAAGCCACCACACCTGCATCCATCACATCAGAAGCAGCCAGCTCTCCAATGAGTACAGTGTCTTCTACGGCATCAGCAAAGAAAATAACATCTTCTATTTCCAAAACCACAACCCCAGCTCTAAAGAGCACAGTATCCTCTACATCTTTTTCAGAGAGTAGCATGACGCCATCCACAATTAGGACTAGTACAACAAAAACCACTACTCAACTTCCAATGACCACGGAATACTTAACTATTTCTCCACAAACCACCACATTGGAAACCACCACAGCAGTGACAGCCACTACTTCCCCACAGAGCACAGTGACCTCCAGCTCTATAAAGACTACTAGCTCTTCAGAATACCCTACCCAACATTCAATCACCAGAGTATACTTAGCTAGTTCTCCAAAGTCCACCACATCTGAGTCAATCACAGCCAGCTCTCCAGCTAGTACAGTGGCCTCTACCTCATCAACAAGGAGTAAAATAACCTCTTCTGTTTCCAAAACCACAACACCAACTCCAGAGAGTACAGTATCCTCCACACCTTCCCCAGAGAGCAGCACTATGAAATTGGAAAAATCTCTTGTGACTTTCCCAACCTCTTCCCTGCTGGAGACAACAACTTTGATTCCTGTAAGAGGAGAGAGCTCAACTACTGCCACTTTGGTTTCTTCAGTCTCACACCAAACGGAATCTGTTAGTCCCTATGAGTCGATGATGACGAGCTTGGGCACTTTCAGGACTTCTACAGCTCCCACAGAAATAATATCAACTGCTACTTCAGGGACAAGGAAAGGTAAGCTTTTTTTTTTTGCAACATTTTCTAAACTAGCTGCACCCAGCCATGCGTTGCTGTGGCTCAGTCTGGTAAAAGCGTGTGTTGCTTTTACGTCCAAAAGATGGTGCTGTTTTTCAAAAAACATGTTTTTACCTGTCACAGGTGTGACATCTATATAATATAGATATATAAAAACACGCGCGTATTCGAATGCAACGTTGTGTCAAAATTTCAAAGCAATCAGTGAAGAGCTTTCAGAGATTTAAGATTTTGAACAAATGAACATTTACATTTTTATTTATATAGATTAGGAAGTGACAGTGTTAGGTTTATACTATAACTGGGATACAACTGGATTATGTTTGCTCTCTCAGCAGGCACTTATACCACCAGCACCACCACCACCTCCTTTTCTGAAGGAAACCTCTTTACGACTGAAGCCAATATTGCATCCACATTTATTAGTACAACACCAATTGAAAGTAAGTAGACAATCCTGTTTAGAAAAATAATAATTAGCCTTTCATAACCTTAATGGTTTCCTATATGTGATGTTGAATGTCCCGTATTTTTAAAAATGACTACTCTGGCTGCAGAGTTCTTCAAGGTGGAGCCCGCACTTTCATTTATTCATTCACTCATTCATTTATTCGTACACCTGCCCATCTCAAACCAGTGACTCTGGGCAGCAAATAATTTATAAAACACTTAAACTGTTAAAACATAATGCCCAAAAGAAATTAAATACAAATAGCAGCCAAGAGATATTACAGTCATCATTGTCAACATAATCAGGAAATGGGGCCCTTTACACACTTGGGACCCCAGGCCTGGGCACATAGTTTCAAAGTCTTATGAAAGTCCAGGGTTATCCTAATTTCTGGAGGGAGAATGTTCCAGGGTGCATGTCTCCTAGTCCCTGACAACAACATTCCTTGATTGATGGGACCCAGAGCATGCTGATCCTGCTGGATGAGATAGGCGCAGTAGAGACAACTAGAAAAAGATAAACCATCAGGTAACCAAATCCCAAGCTATGAAGGGGTTTTTAAGGATGACAACCAGCACCTTGAGTTGCAC